CGAGCTTCCTTCTTGAGTGTAAGCTTGAATAGATGGCCCAACCGTGTTTGAGGGCGCAGAGCGGCTCCTGGGATTGCTGTAATTCCCATGTGGCAGATTTTTCCTCTGTAAAACGTTACCCAGATTCTAAATACTTAAATCAGACACAGAAGCGGTCGTGTGACTATTCACAGGATCATTTTAAGACTTTTTTTTTTTTTTTTGGCAGTTTTTGGCGCGGGCTGGGCTTGAACTCGCCACCTCCGGCATATGGGGCCGGTGCCTTGCTCCTTTGAACCACCAGGTGCCGCCCCAGGACTCCTGTTTTTTTTAATTCCCATGTGGCAGTTTTTTCCTCTGTAAAACGTTACCCAGTTTCTAAAATACTTAATACAGAAATGGTCGCATTACTATTAACAGGCTCCTTCTAGGACTTGTTTTTCTCAAGCTAGATGGTAACAGTGAACATTTTATTGAGATTTAGAACGTACCAGTAGACACCATGAGGAGCTATATTAGTATTTGCCCCGTTTTGGGTGGCGCCTGTGGCTCAGTGAGTAGGGCGCTGGTCCCATCTACCGAGGGTGGTGGGTTCAAACCCGGCCCCGGGCAATAAGCAACAAGAAGAAAAATTTTTCGGGGCGGGGCCTGTAGCTCAGGGAGTAGGGTGCTGGCCCCATATACAGAGGCTGGCGAGTTCAAACCCAGCCCCGGCTAAACTGCAACAACAACAACAAAAAATAGCCAGGTGTTGTGGCGGGCGCTTGTAGGCCTAACTACTCAGGAGGCTGAGGCAAGAAGAGTCGCCTAAGCCCAGGAGTTGGAGGTTACTGTGAACTGTGATGCTACAGCACTCTACCGAGGGCGATGAAGACTGTCTCTTTAAAAAAAAAAAAATTTCCCCCGTTTTACGAAAGAAACAGATCCTAGAGAAGGCAAATAACCTGCCCAAGGTCAAACGGCTAGGATCATGCCCTGATAGATCTGCCCAAAGCCCAGGCCAGATGGCATCAGACGCCAACACCTTGTGTATTTGCCCTAACTTCATCCCCTGCCACTATTTACTCCATTTGCCCAACCAACTCAAACCATTTTCCATCCTTCTGACCTCAAACATTCCATTCCTACCTCAGGTCTTGCAGGTAAAAGCAGCACCTTCTCTTGGAAAGCCCTCCACCTTGCACCTGGGTGGCCCTTTATAGATCTCATCAAAAATTTGTTAAGTACAGACCACCTTCTAACTGCCTCGCTGGGTATAGAAGCCACTCTGGGCTCCGCACCTGTGACTCAAGTGGCTAAAGCACCAGCCACATACACCTAAGGTGGTGGGTTCGAATCCAGCCTGGGCCTGCCAAACAATGACGGCTGCAACCAAAAAATAGCTGGGCGTTGTGGCCGGCACCTGTGGTCCCAGCTACTTGGGAGGCTGAGGCAGGAGATTCACTTGAGCCCAGGAGTTGGAGGTTGCTGTGAGCTGTGATGCCACAGCATTCTACTCAGGGGGACAGCTTGAGGCTCTGTCTCAAAAACAACAAAAAAAAAGAAGTCACTCTGGCCCCTCTGCAAACCAAGCCCAAGGCACACTGGTCAACTTTTCTTTGCCACTTGAACCTTAACCCCCCCCCCCACTTGTTGCTATATTCACGTAATTCAAGTTTAATCAGTGCAACGTGAATAACTGGAGTTACCGTTTCTCTGAAAAGTAAATTCAATGCTAGAAAGACTTAAAGGCAGGGAACTTTCTCAATGCTATAGAATTAGACATGGGGGAAATGTGAAGAGTGGGAAATATCGTCAAGTGTGGTAGTTCACACCTGTAATGGGAGTTGGAGGCCACAGTGAGCTATGATGATGCCACTATATGTGCTCCCCACCCTTAGCAAAAGATCCTGCCTCCAAAAAATGGCTCATACCCATAATTCTAACACTAGATTCTAGAAGGATGAGGTGGGAGTATTCTTTTGAGTCAGACCAGCATAAAGAGACCCTGTCTCCGCTGAAAATAGAAAAATTAGATGGGGTGGCACCCATCACTCAGTGGGTAGGGAGCCAGCCCCATACACCCAGCCTGGGCCAGTTACACAATGACAAGGGGAAAAAATAGCCACGCACTGTGGCAGGCACCTGTAGTCCGAGCTCCTTGGGAGGCCGAGGAAGGATTGCTTGAACCCAGGAGTTTGAGCTAGGATGATACCAATGTACTCTAGCCTGGGCAACAGATTAACTCAAAAAAGTAATACATGGCTGGCTCGGCGCCTATAGCTCAACCGGCTAAGGCGCCAGCCACATACACCTAAGGTGG